GGCCCAAGCACTTGAACCGTCATCTGCTGCCTCCTAGGATGTGCCTTAGCAGGGAGCTACTTGGGAAGCAGAGTAGCTGGAAGTCTAACCAGCACTCAGATTTGGGATGAGTGTCTTCCAAGTGGTGGCTAAACCCACTCAATACATTGCCTACCCTTGGATTTCAAAAAAACTTTTTGCACCCAGATGAACATCTTTTATTTTCATTTTTTCTGTGAATTTTTAAAAATAACCTTGTGTTTGTATTTTTATGAGTTTGTGAGCTATTCCAAGTGGCTAAACAGTATTTGTCCAGGCAGGAGCTGGAGATGGCCTGGATTACAGTTGTGGCAGTGCAGATGGAGAGAAGTAGACCTCTGTTAAGAGGCAGAAGCAATAGTATTCACTAAGAAATTGCTTGTAGGGACCCCAGTGAGGGAAGTGTCAAGATACATCCCAGCTTTCTGGAGTGAGCAGCAACAGTGATAGTGCATGGGCTGTACTTTAGAGGAGACTGACATTTCTTAGAGGGGTACTTTTGGGTGGCTCTCAGCTGCAATTGGTAGGAGTTGGGAATGGCATCTTTCCCAAGGACAACAAATCTGTAAACTGGTTATAAACCCAAGAGATGATCTGTTACTGAAAACTGCCTAAACAGGACTGTTGAGCCAAGACTAATTCTCTCTGGAATTTGAGATGAATTGTGAGCCAACTGGTGGCAGGATGAGCAGCATCAGACAGACCACAGATGCACAGAGGTGGGCCATCAGCCTGCCACAGTGAAGGGGTAGAGTTTCCTTCTGGAGGCTTCCTGGAATTCAGACAGCCTTCAGGTTTGTGTTTCATGCCCAGACTTCTCTTCATTCTGAAGCTAACATGCATTTCATTTGTTTCTGGGTCTCTCTGTAGGCCCTTTCCTTATTCTCAGATAGAACGTTTTGGAAATACTCACCTTCTCACATTACTTCAGAGAATCTTCCTGCTGTGCATTAACTAAATATTAACTAGAGACAGAATAGTGGAGTAGTTAAAAATTCTTAGTATAAATTCCTCCTCTCTTATTGATCTTTTGACATTGACCAAGATATTTCTCACCATGTCTCAGTTTTCTCATTTGTGAAATTGAGATGATAGAGCATCTGCTTCACAGAGTTGTTGTGAGGAGTACATGAGATAAGCTGTATGTAGTGCTTAAGTTAGTGTCTGATGCAGAATTAGAATATTTATTATTAGTAATTGAGATTTTTAGAACTGTCTCTGGAGAGATATAAACATCTTTATGGAAAAAACTATAGGAAAGAGAGTATAGAGTAAGAGGTTGGAGATAAAAAAGAATATCCAGTATGAAGACTGAACAATATAGATAGTATGTATAAAATGTTATTTGAATAGTCTTGAAAAAGTTGGTGGAAAATGGAATTAAAAAGTTTTCTAGTGACCTACAGCACATTGGGGTGACTGTAGGTCACAGTAATATATAAAGTAGAAAGAACTGGAAGAGATGAGCTGATAGTTTCCAAACACAAAGAAAAGGAAATAGAAAGCCTAGTTGCCGGGTTGATCACTTTATACTGTGTGTGTATGTATGTATGTTTGTGTATTTCGAAGTATTGTACTATCAAAAAATTTTCAAAAGATAGGTATTCTATTTATTTTTTTAATTTTAATTTTATATATATTTTTAATATTTTATTTATTTAAGAGGTAGAGTTACAGACAGTGAGAGGGAGAGACAGAGTAAGGTCTTCCTTCCGTTGGTTGACTCCTCAGGTGGCTGCAATGGCCGGAGCTGTGCTGATCCGAAGCCAGGAGCCAGGTGCTTCCTCCTGGTCTCCCACACGGGTGCAGGGGCCCAACGTCTTGGGCCATCTTCTGCTGCTTTCCTAAGCCATAGCAGAGAGCTGGATTGGAAGCACAGCAGCCGGGACTAGAATTGGCACCCATATGGGATGCTGGCACCACAGGCGGAGGATTAACCTACTGCGCCATGACGCCAGCTCCTAAGAGCTAGGTATTTTAGTGCCAAAATTTTTGAAACTCATGCACAGTTTTTTCATAATATGCATTTTTCCACAAGCTTTTTGTAGACCATTCATTCATAAATGAGAAAGGGTGTTAAGAGAATTAGGGCCCAGAGAACCAAGGATGGAATGGGGTCAGTAGAAGCCAACTGGTGAAAGGATTGTGTGTGTGTGTGTGTGTGTGTGTGTGTGAGAGAGAGAGAGAGAGAGGGAGGGAGGGAGGGAGGGAAGGGGAGGGAAGAAAGGGGAAGGGTAGGAAGGGAAGGAGGAAGGGAAGGGGGAGGGGGAAAGAGATTGGATCTTAGTTATGGTGGTCTATTGGGAGAGACACTGATTGAGAAGAAAGGTGGAAAGCTTTTATGGAGAGCAAGAGATATGGTCTTGGTAAACAGTGCTGAGATCCAGAGATTGCACACAAAAAGTATTTTCACAGTTTTTCTTAGCTGTGCTGAGTTCAACAAAATGATGAGATAAAAAAGTGATACAAGAATGATTTTAAAGGTTTGCAAGCCAGATGCCGGGAAATAAAAAGGATGCTGGGACTTGGGTGGAGGGACACAGTAAGGCAAGTGGTCAGTTACTGAGCCCTGCTTGACTGGGGAAGCCAGTGTACTCTGGGCAGAGTGTATGGTTTTGAAGAAAGAGGAGGGTGGTGGTCTGTGTGGTATTAACCATAAATGATTCATACTTTGTTTAAATGATGGTTCCTTTCTGCTATTTCTAACATGAATTCCTTGTGTTGATGACTGAAACATGAAGGCCATTTGCTAAAACGGATTTGTTACTCTTCTCTGTGATACAATCCAAAAGTTGAGATACTGCTAATATTTTATTTAGAAGTTACTAATGATTTCATGTGGTGTGCTGGATGTATGAATGACAGCTTGTGATCCTTAACCTTAGGAAAAGCTTACCTATAGTATGAGAGATTTTATTTTCAATGACTGCTTCTGAGGAGCTTACATTTCGGCTATTCTGAGGATTTTAAAAATAAACACTAAGTAAGAGAGAATTTTTAGATGTGTTTCATGTATTTGCAACTAAGACAGCCTGTGTTTGAGGCAGTATTCATCCATGATCTGGACCTGATGTGTATGAACTTCAGAGGTCCTGATTTCTCCTTTGACTTTTTATTTGGAGTATAGCTAATCTGAAACCAGTAACATTTACTCATTCCTTCTTTTGTTTCAGGCAGTAGGTAAGATATAAGAAGAACAAGTGAGTGATGGTGAGATGATCCCATGATTATCACAGTGGGATATACATTCCTGGTGTGTTCACCATAGGCCGTAGAGGGCTGGGAGAAATATTAGACCTTTTTTTTTTTAACCCCTTAATCTCAATTTCTGTGCTTTAGAACATGTGTATCAGAATAGTTTTGCATGCCCAAAATATATAGATAAATATATGTATCTTGGGAGTACCTTTTTTTGTTTAGTGACATATATTTGATTAAAAATGTCTGGAGGCTACTAAATGTTAGTGTTTATTTTAAAAAAATACATTTTGTCAGCTTTCTCTTATGTTTTAACATTTTGAGAAAACCAAAATTTCTATGTGTGATAAAACTATATTTGTAATAAGGAAGTAGTTTTATAATTTTCCTACTATTTACAGTATAAAGTAAGACTTCTATTTTTTTTTTTTTTAATTTTTTTTTTTTTTTTGACAGGCAGAGTGGACAGTGAGAGAGAGAGACAGAGAGAAAGGTCTTCCTTTGCCGTTGGTTCACCCTCCAATGGCCGCCGCGGCCGGTGCGCTGCGGCCGGCGCACCGCGCTGATCCGATGGCAGGAGCCAGGAGCCAGGTGCTTTTCCTGGTCTCCCATGGGGTGCAGGGCCCAAGCACCTGGGCCATCCTCCACTGCACTCCCTGGCCACAGCAGAGGCTGGCCTGGAAGAGGGGCAACCGGGACAGAATCCGGCGCCCCGACCGGGACTAGAACCGGTGTGCCGGCGCGCTAGGCGGAGGATTAGCCTAGTGAGCCGCGGCGCCGGCCAGTAAGACTTCTAAATAATGAAACACATTATTACAATCTGGCCTGACACATTTGAATCATTTTCTTTTGTGTGTATATAGGTATGGGGGGGGATCTTTATCTTTTGTAGAATGGTATCTCTTATTTGAAAGCACTAACCTTCTTACTGTTTGTTTGATGTAGGGAAATAGGGCACAGGAATAGTGGAACACCATATATTTGTTCCACTGTCAATCTCATCCCATGGTGTGACCTCTGGTGCCCTCCATACACTCATACACACACTCATTCACTCACTCACTCAAACCCCTTAATTGTTGCAAAGCAACAGGGTGATGATGCCACTTAGAAGTTTCCTGGCTCCATCTATTTGCTTACAGTGGGTGTTTTCACAGTGTGAAATGTTCCCCTTCCAGAGAACAGTCCTGAAATCCTTAGTTCAAAAAGTTCTTCCCTCCCTCACTCCAAGAACATTTTCCCTAAAATTTGTTAGAAAAACTATCAGTGAGAATATATTTTAAATGAAGTATATTGAAGAGACGTTTCTAGGTTATCTGGAGGATTTTTGTTTCAGTGATAAACATGTATTTCATTCATATTTGACACTGTCATTTAAAAAATTTTTTTTGATCTATTTGAAAGGTAGCAAGATATATAGATACATGCACACACACACACACACACACGGAGAGAGAGAGAATGTTCCCCATCTGCTGGTTCACTTCCCAAATGTACGCAATGGCCAGAGCTAGGTGATTCTGAAGCTAGGATCCTAGGACTCCATCCTGGTCTCCCATATGGGTGGCAGAGATCCATTTTATTTGAGCCATTATCTGCTGCTTCCCAGAGTAGACATTAGTGGGAAGCTGGATCAGAAGCAAAGCCAGGACTTGAATCCGGGCACTCTGATATCAGATACAGATGTCCCCAGGGGAACTTAACCACTATTCCAAATGCCTACCCTTAAAACATTTTAAAATAAGTTATTTTATTTAACTAAAATCTTACATGTGTCTTTGCAGGTTGATGACAGTTAGAAGCATGCTTTCCATTGAACTTCCAGACACCATTTGTTATGCAGAATGTCTCTGAGTGAGAACGCAGTTTTTGCTTATGAATCTTCAGTGCACAGCACCAATGTCTTGCTTAGCCTCAATGACCAGCGGAAGAAAGATGTGCTGTGTGATGTTACCATCTTTGTAGAGGGTCAGCGATTCCGTGCCCACCGGTCAGTGCTGGCAGCATGCAGCAGTTATTTTCACGCAAGAATTGTAGGCCAGGCTGACACAGAACTTACTATTACTCTACCAGAAGAGGTAAGTGGTTCATGGTTCTGCTGACTTTAATTTAACTTGATTAAGTTTCTTATGATTTATAAAGCTAAAAATAAAGTACATTCTTTCCGTCAGGTGGATGGAGGGGTATTTCCCAAGTTTTGCAGCAAATCATTTCTTTCTTGTGTCTTGAGGTTGTATTTATGCATTGTAGAAAAGAATGGTTTTGTACCATTTATTTTTTTGAAAATTTTTTTTTGACAGGTAGAGTTAGACAGTGAGAGAGAGAGAGACAGAGAGAAAGGTCTTCCTTTTCCATTGGTTCACCCCCAAAATGGCTGCTATGGCTGGTGTGCTGTGGCCAGCGCGCTGCACCAATCCGAAGCCAGGAGCCGGGTGCTTCCTCCTGGTCTCCCATGCGGGTGCAGGGCCCAAGGACCTGGGCCATCCTCCACTACACTCCCGGGCCACAGCAGAGAGCTGGACTGAAAGAGGAGCAGCCGGGACAGAATCTGGCGCCCCAACCGGGACTAGAGCTGGAGTGCCGGCGCCGCAGGTGGAGGATTAGCCTAGTGAGCCGCGGCGCTGGCTTATTTTTTTGAAATATTTATTTGAGAGACTGAGAGAACAAGTTGGCATCTGCTGGTTCACTCCCTCAAATGCCCACAATGGGTAGATCTGGGTTGGGAGTAAGTTCATGAGGCAGGAATGGAATCCAGGTCTCCGACATGGGTGGCAGTAATTGCTGCCTCCCAGGGTCCACATTACTGGGAAACTGATTTAGGAACTGGAACCAGCATGTGATGTGGGTATCTTAACTGCTAGGTGAACCACCTGCCTTTATTTTGTGCCTTAGAATCGTGTTTTTGCATCCATCATTTTTCCCAGTCTTTTGTGGATCCCATGTTTATAAACATGTGGGTCTTTGTTAATGTCCCACCCCCAAAAGACCTCTCTGTTGGGTAAAGAACGCTGGTTAGACTTTCAAGAACGGCTTGCTTTAGTTAGTAACTGATGCTAGCAGAGCATCAAGCCTGTGGCATTAGGACAGGAATAGAAGTTACTAAGAGGAATGTGTACAAAATATGTCAAACTTCTTTGAGATGACAGATTTTAGATTCTCTGTGTTAGATAGAGTTGGGTAAACTGTGAACCAGGTCTGTGGTTTAGCTTGTTTCTAGTCATATATATGTTATAAAATTGTAGCTACAATTTTGGAAACAGGTTGTCTTTTGTTTTTTGGCAGAAGTCAGAGTACATGGTACAAAATGACAAAAAGGGTCAGCTGTAGACTAGCCTATGTCTTTTCAAAGGGACATCACAAATCATAGTGGAAATATACTTACTGTAGTTCTTGTTTTCAAATTATTGAATGAGACTTTCCAAATGGAGCAAAGTTTGATTCTTGGGTTTTGAAATAAAGGTATATGTATGCATGTCTATTAAGTACTCATTCATTCATTCTAATTTGAAGTATAAAGAATAAGTTTCACATATATAAAGTTTCATCATAGTGACAGCTTGAAAATGTTATATAGCTAATAATAAATATTCTAAAACTAAAGGTCCTTTTGATTGTTTTAACTTATTTTAAAAATTTTCAATTGAAATTTTTATTGAGACTATTGTAAACTCATGTACAACTGTAAGAATTAATGCAGAATTTCATTTTACGCTTTTCCTAGATCCCTCATTGTTAATATTGTACAGAATTGTAGTAATGTTGTTAAGTAGGATATAGATGTTGGTAAAATATACCCATCATATTCAGATTATCCTAGTTTTACTTATACTAATTTCTGTGGTTGTTATATATGTATTAAGTTCTCCATATTTTTATCTCATTTGAGATGTATGTATCAGCTAAGATGTATGTATCAGTTAATATGCTGAATCGTTTCAACACCCAAGGATTTTTTGTGTTGCCTTTATAATCATACTGCCTCTTCCCCACCCTCACCGCTCACCCTATTTCCCTTATTCTCTTCCATCTTTACCTCCTAGGAGCCACTAATATGTTTTCCTTTTCTAAAGTTTTCTTGTTCCAAAAGTGTTATGAAATCATAGTATGTTACCTTTTGGGATTGAATTTTTTTTATTTAGCATAATTTCCTTAATAATAGTCAGATTGTAGGTAAAAATAGTTTGTTCCTTTTTATTACTAAGTAGTACTCCAACGTGTGGATATGCCAGGTTTTTTAGTTTATTCAAACTCTTCTCCTTTTGAAGGAAAATAGACTAATTCCAGGTTTTGGCTATTACAAACAGTTGCTGTGAATTTTTTTTTTTAAAGATTTATTTATTTATTTGAAAGAGTTACACAGAAGGAGAGGCAGAGAGAGAGAGAGAGAGAGAGAGAGAGAGGTCTTCCATCTGCTGGTTCACTCCCCAATTGGCTGCAATGGCTGGAGCTGTGCCGATCCGAAGCCAGGAGCCAGGAGCTTTCTCCAGGTCTCCCACGTGGGTGCAGGAGCCCAAGCACTTGGGCCATCTTCCACTGCTTTCCCAAGCCATAGCAGAGAGCTGGATTGGAAGTGCAGCAGCCGAGACTCGAACCAGTGCCCATATGAGATGCTGGCACTGCAGGTGGCGGTTTTACCTGCTATGCCACAGTGCTGGCCCTTTTGTGAATATTTGAATGCAAGATTTTGTGTGAATGTAAGTTTTCACTTCTCTGAGATAAAAGATCAGGAGTGAAGTTGCTGGGTCTTGTGGTAGTTGCATGTTAAATTCTATAAGAAACTACCATACTTAAAAAAAAATAAAAGTGGTCCTGCCATTTCACGATGTACCAGCTGCATGTTGAGTTATCCAGCTATCCAGTTTCTTTGAGTTTCATCAGCACTTTATGGTGTTACTGTTTTCTATTTTAACTCTTTAAAAGTTGAATGCTCACAGGTTAGCATGTTTTTAAGAAGACTACAGATATTAATATCTTGATCACTCTTGTAGAAACTCAGTGTTTTAGAATTGATTTTGTAATTTAGCCCAGGTTGAGGCTTTCTGTGTATGCCAGTAGATTCCACTTTGCAGAGGCAGATTTGGTGTAAATGTACAAATTTATATCTAAAGGTTTTGTTATCTAAAGTCCATGAGTCTTTGCCAAAATAGTACTGAGGCATGATTTGTAGGACTTCGATCACTTTTTAAAATCAAATCTTTAAAATTTTTTATTAGAAATTTTTGATATGCAATAAATATACTGTATGCATTTATCATCTAGATCAGGGCTTCTTTGTAAATGCTTTATTGTTTTTATCCTTAAAAATTCTACTCTTGTAGTTAATACCAGTCGTGTAGTTTAATACCAGTGGAATATACTGGTGGAGCTGAGCTAGCATTAGTACCTATCACTTCACTATGTGTGTCGCAAGTGGTATGTATTTTGCTTTATTTCATAGATGATTTATTTCCACGAACATGGAAATATCTTATGTCTATAAAGTGGAAGATGTGGCCTCAGTGAAAAGAGTGTGACAGGCATGCTTCTTTAGGCTGCTTTAACTTTGCAATTGCTAGAATTTTTTCCCAAATTAAAATATCTCTTTTATAATTATCACATATAACTAATACATCTCTGTTTCCCTTCTGCTTTGTTTGCTTTTATCTATTAGACAGATTTCAAATGATATGTTTCTTAAAATTTTATATTAACAGGTGACAGTTAAAGGATTTGAACCTTTAATTCAGTTTGCCTACACTGCTAAACTTATTTTAAGTAAAGACAATGTGGATGAAGTATGCAAGTGTGTAGAATTCTTAAATGTACACAATATTGAAGAGTCCTGCTTTCAGTTTCTCAAATTTAAGTTTTTGAACTCCACTGAAGACCAGCAAGAATGCCAAAGAAAAAAATGCTTTTCATCGCGTTGTCAGAAAAAAGACCTTAAATTTTCACTTGTGGACCAGAGGGATCTAGAAACTGATGAAGTGGAAGAATTTCTGGAAAATAAAAATGTTCAGACTCCTCAATGTAAACTCCGTCGGTATCAAGGGAATGCAAAAGTGTCACCTCCTGTGCAGGACAGTGCCAGTCAGACCTATGAATCCATGTGCTTAGAAAAGGATGCTTCTTTGGCTCTGCCATCTCTGTGCCCCAAATACAGAAAGTTCCAAAAAGCTTTTGGAACTGACAGAGTCCGTACAGTGGAATCCAGTGTCAAAGATGTTCATGCTGCTTCTGTTCAGCCAAATGAGACGTCTGATAATGAATGTCTAGGAGGAGGCCAGGACTGTGCAGATTTACAGGTGATTTTAAAATGTGAAGAGAGTAAATCAGCAGTGGAACATGAAGAAACAAAGATGAAAGATCCCGCTTCTCAGTGCTCAGCCGAAAAAACGGAAGTGGCTCCTTTCCCCCACAATTCCTCTACAGACCCTCATGGACTCTACTCTCTGTCTCTTTTACACACATACGACCAATACAGTGACTTGAATTTTGCTGGTATGCAAAACACAGCAGTGTTAACAGAGAAGCCTTTGTCAGGTACAGATGTTCGAGAAGAGAAAACATTTGGTGAAAGCCAAGATTTACGTTTGAAATCCGACTCTGGCCCCAGAGAAGATGGAAGCCTTGCATCTAGTGATCGGAGTAGTGTGGAACGAGAAGTGGCAGAACACTTAGCAAAGGGCTTCTGGAGTGACATTTGCAACACGGACTCTCCTTGCCAAATGCAGTTGTCACCTGCTGTGGCCAAAGAGAGCTCAGAGCAGCTCTATTCACAGAAACGGTCTGAGTGTCCCTGGTTGGGTATTAGGATCAGCGAGAGCCCAGAACCAGGTCAGAGAACTTTTACAACGTTAAGTTCTGTGAACTGCCCTTTTATAAGTACTTTGAGTACTGAAGGGTGTTCAAGCAGTTTGGAAATTGGAAGTGATGACTACGTTTCAGAACCCCAGCAGGAACCTTGTCCATATGCTTGTGTGATTAGCTTGGGGGATGACTCTGAGACAGACACAGAAGGAGACAGTGAATCCTGTTCGGCCAGAGAACAAGAGTGTGAGGTAAGCAGGATTATTTTCTTAATTCATTGTTTTAAAAGCCATCAGTTGAGATTTACTCTGGGTCAACTCCTGTTCCCTAGGGTTATGAGCAGGTTGAGAGAGACAGGATGAAACTTTTATACAGTTATAAAAATTATAAGACCATGTGATAAATACTGAAAGTGAAATCAAATTTAAATTTATATTTCAAGTAGATGTACTTTATATTAACTGTAGAGTACATTCATAATTGACTTTTTAACTGTGTAAATCAAGTGTCACGTCCTGGGAGGAACAAGAATAATGATTCTATAATCATTACACAATAACGTCTGGAAAAATGCAGTTTGTAGTAAGGGACATTCATAGCCATAAGGATCTTTAGACCTAGGACTAGTTACTGATTAATGGATTTAGCAGTGACTAGTTGTAAGAATGTGGCTTCTAATGTAAAGTTTTCTTGGATCAAGATTTTTGTGGCCATTGATTTCTTTCTTATTTTCTATTAGCCATTTCAGCTATTAGTTTAATGAATGTCTTAATAATTTAGCATGAGTTACTTGCAAGTTAATTGTAGTGAGCTTAACCTGCATATTCTTGAATAGAAGTTATTTTATAGCTGCTTTTTATAAAATATTACTTTATGTTATAAAAATTGTTTAATATTAATTTTTCTATTTCATATGATTTTGTGTAGTTTTCAAAGGTTGAAGTTTTTCTTTGTAGTTGCAATTTGTACTTTTTATAAATTAGGTTTCTGTTTTACCTATCACATTTTTCCCTTTCTTGAACTTTAGTTTTTTATGTGGTAAGACTATTTATGAGAGTTTTACCCTTGTAACAGAGTTTTAAGTGCACAACATGGTATTGTTAGTTATAGGTACAGTGTTTTATAGTAGATCTATAGAACTTACTCATCTGGTGTGAGACGAAACTGAAACTTGACCCATGGATAGCAGTTCCCTACTTTTCTCTGCTCAGTCTCTGGCAACCACCATTTTACTCTTTCTTCACATTTGGCTATTTTAGATACTGTATATGATGTGGGGTATGTAGGGTTTTCTCTCCTATGACTGGCTTATTTCACTTAACATAATTTCCTCATAAATTCATCTGTATTATAGCAAAATGGCAAAATTTTCTTTTTGTTAGACTGAATATTGTTCTGTTCTATATATATTCGTGTACCATGGTTTCTGTATCCAATCATCTGTCCCTGGACTTGTAGATTGTTTACTATTATGGCTATTGTCAGTAATAATGTGATGAAGATAAAAGTGCAGATACTTTGAAAATTTAATTTTAATTTAATAAATACCAAGGAGTGATATTGCCACATCATGTGCTTGTTACATTTTTAATTTCTTGAGAATCCTGCAAGCTGTTTTTTGTAGCAGTTATACCATTTTCCCACCAGCAGTATACAGGAGTCCCAGTTTGTCCACATCCTATTTTTAGCATTTTCTTTTGTTTTAGAGCTGTTGGGTGACATAGGTTTGAAAGAAGCTTTGGAAGGAGGTGGAGCAATGGTTTAATTTAAGGAGTAATATGTAAGCATGGGCTATATCTGTAGTTTTTTATGACATTTGTAAATGTAGCATTTGGAAACACTGTGAAGAATGTTAAAAATAAAACATTTTGTATAACTGACTTCTGTAAGCTTAAACAGCAAGCTAAATAGGTTGATAGACTAACCAATGTTGTTTGTACTTTGGCTAATTAAACTCTCACAATTACTGATTTTTTTAAAAAGTTATTTTCTCCTTTTTCCAAATTTAAGTGTGTTGAAAATGATTTTAAAGTATGAAATTGATAAGATTTTCCTTTTTACATTGCCAAGTAGAATGTGTGGCTTTTTTTATTTTTAAATTTTTAAAAATTTATTTGAGACAGAAAGAGATTGATTTTCTATCTGCTGATTTTACTCACTGAATGCCCACAACAGCCTAGGCTGGACCAGACTGGAGCCAATACCTCAGATCTCAATCTGGGTCTCCAATGTAGGTGTGTGGCAGAGGCCCAAACATTTTTAGGTATCACTTGCTGCCACCCAGGGTATACATTAACAAGAAACTGGAATCAGGTGTAAAACTGAGACTAACCCAGGCACTCCAGTGTGGGATTCAAGCATCCTAGCCTGCATCTCAACTGTTCTGCCAAATGCCTTCCCCTGAAACTACTGTTTTTTTCATACATAAATAAATTTTCTGAAGTGCTTTAGAATTGACTGGCATAGAAGGAACTGGGAATCAAACCAGCATTCTACCACAAGCAGTGGCTTAAATTGCTGCTCCATAATGCTGGCCCTAAAATCACTTTAGAAAGTTTTATATCTGTGTTATTCACATGTACCAGTAAAATAACATAATTCTAGCTTTCCATTTCAAGTATGTTAATATTTATGTTAATGTTTGACTTGCTGAAAAGAATACGCTTCTCAATTTGTTTCTTGAAATTTCTTAATTAGATTAGAAATATCAGTCAAATTATCAGATAATGATTTTGTAGAAATTGGGATGGGGACCTAGTTTTTAAAAATTCAAATGAAATTCTCTGAGAAACTTATTTCCTAGAGTTAAGTATATTTATAAAACACTGCAAAAATTACTAATGTTTGTTTCACATTCTAGGTTAAACTGCCATTTAATGCACAGCGAATAATTTCACTCTCTCGAAATGATTTTCAATCCTTGTTGAAAATGCATAAGCTGACTCCAGAACAACTGGATTGTATCCATGATATTCGAAGAAGAAGTAAAAACAGAATTGCTGCACAGCGCTGTCGCAAGAGAAAACTTGACTGTATTCAGAATCTTGAATCAGAAATTGAGAAACTGGCAAGTATACAATTTTCTTGATACTCAAATTCTACCATAGCTATTTAAATTCTTAGGTCAGATATAATACTCATTTAAAAACATACCAGATACCTTTTTAGAAAAATTACATGGCATTTTCAAAAGATTAGGAAATAAAATATGAGAGTTTTTCCTTTATTTTCTTACTTCTGTAAGCATTCTACATTTTTTTTATTTTATTTTATTTTATTTTTTTATTTTTTGACAGGCAGAGTGGACAGTGAGAGAGAGAGACAGAGAGAAAGGTCTTCCTTTGCTGTTGGTTCACCCTCCAACGGCCGCCGCGGCCGGCGCGCTGCGGCCGGCGCACCGCGCTGATCCGATGGCAGGAGCCAGGAGCCAGGTGCTTTTCCTGGTCTCCCATGGGGTGCAGGGCCCAAGCACCTGGGCCATCCTCCACTGCACTCCCTGGCCACAGCAGAGAGCTGGCCTGGAAGAGGGGCAACCGGGACAGAATCCGGCGCCCCAACCGGGAGTAGAACCTGGTGTGGCGGAGGATTAGCCTAGTGAGCCTAGTGAGCCGCGGCGCCGGCAGCATTCTACATTTTTAATGTGATATATTTTGATATGTAAGTTGAGAACTATTTCCAGGTACTTGTTTGTAAAAATGATTTTCTATTTAAGGATAATTTTACTCTATCTAACTCATAGTGGTTGAGTCAAGGTTGAAGAAATTATAAAACAATCTGATGTGTTTGGTGTCTATAAAAGTTAGTGTTTCAGTTATTACTTCAAATGAAATGCAGACCTGAATAATTAGTATTGATTTGTACCAAGAATAAACAGACCATTCAGGATTTTTCATCTAAGGATCTTCCATCAATCCTGGTGTCATATAATGATAAGATCCTTAGAAGAGGGATTGTTTATTGAATTGAATTTTGTATACCAGTATCAAAACACAAATTAAGAAATGGATTAGTTTGCTCTTCTCTCTTCTGTTTTGCTTTTCCCCTGCTAGTTGGTGGAAGAATATTGTATGAAAGAGGACACTGGCATAGTATATTCTAGCTAAGGATATAAATGTCAATAAGACAACAAGGAAACTGACTAGAATTAGTAAAAGCATTCTTTGAATATTCACTTTTGTGATTAAAGTTGTGATTTTGAAAAGTCTTCAAGCCTAAACATTCTAGCTATGAATGGGAATTAAATAGCATCAGTTTGGAAGAAGAATTGTGCCTTTATATATATATATATAAATATGTCATCAAGAAAAGTTGAAAAATAAATGTTTATTATTTATATCTTGTGCATATACATTATGCATTAAGATGAAGAGCTATCTACAAAGTTAAGCATAGCTACATAAAAAGTCAAATATTTTACCAGTGAATCATGGCGTGAGAGATATTAAAAATATGTATATGATATTGCTGAGTAATTAAGTTGTTAGGACCCAAGAAAAAAAGTTAAAAATTCACTATTATTTAGTTAGGAACCAAGAAAAAAAGTTAAAAATTCACTATTATTTAGTACTTTTGGAATATATATCTTTCCTGCCTTTGAGCACTAGTGTAGTTTATTTTTTTAAAAGATTTATTTATTTATTTGAAAGGCAGAGGCAGAGAGAAAAAGAGAGGTGTCTTCCATCTGCTGGTTCACTCCCCAGATGGCCTCAATGGCCAGAGATGTGCTGATCTGAAGCCAGGAGCCAGGAGTTTATTCCAGGTCTACCACGTGGGTGCAGGGGCCCAAGGACTTGGGCCATTTTCTACTACTTTCCCAGGCCATGTCAGAGAGCTGCATTCGAAGTGGAACAACCAGGACTCGAACCAGCGTCCATATGAGATGCTGGCACTGCAGGCAGCGTCTTTACCCGCCATGCCACAGCGCCGACCCCGTATTGTTTCTTTCCTTTTTTCTTTTCTTTTCTTCTCTCCTCTCTCCTCTCTTCTTCTTTTTTTCTTTAAGATTTTATTTGAGAGGTGTAGTTACAGACAGTGAGAGGGAGAGAGGATCTTCCATCTGCTGGTTCACTTCCCAAATGGCCGCAACAGCCAGCGCTGAGCTAATCAGGAGCCAGGAGCCTCTTCCGGTCTTTCACACAGGTGCAGGGGCCCAAGGTGTTGGGCCAGCTTCCGCTGCTTTTCCAGGCCAGAGCAGAGAGCTGGATCAGAAGAGAAACAGCTGGGACACAAACTGGCACCCATATGGGATACCTGCACCACAGGTGGTGGATTAACCTGCTGTGCCACAGCACTGGCCCCTTGTATTGTTTCTTATTATCCAACTTTGAATTAAACACTCACCTGCCTTTAGACAGAGGCTAACATTTTGAGCTTTAGTGGTTATTCTGTGCTACAATAGAGGTGCTTTTGTATTGGTAGGGTATGTGGAACTACATGAAATCCATTGTGCTACTAGAGCTCTTAGTTCTTTCAGTTCTGGCCTTCCCTCAACTATTGATAGCCCTCAGTAGAATTGATCTAATTTTTATTATTGGTAACTGTACTTTATACATGGATTCTAAGCTAATTTGTTTTGAGAGTAGGCATTACTCTTTAGAACTACTCCATTTCTTGGCTAACAGGTTTTATTTATATATTTTGATAAAGTTAGCCATGGAATTGCTGGATAATTAATATTTTTAGAATCCTTTCTTTTTTTTTTTTAAGATTCATTTATTTGAAAGAGTTAGAGAGGTAGAGACAGAGAGGTGTTACATCCGCTGGTTCATTCCCCAGAGGACTGCAACAGCCGAAACTGTGCCAATCCGGAACCAGGAGTCAGGAGCTTCTTCTGGGTCTCCCACGTGGGGGCAAGGGCCCAAGGACTTGGGCCATCTTCTACTGCTTTCCCAGGCCATAGCAGAGAGTTGGATCAGAAGAGGAGCAGCCGGGACTCAAACCGGCACCCATATGGGATGCCGGCGCCTCAGGCCAGGGGTTTAATCTGCTTTGCCACAGCGCTGGCCCCCCCGAATCCTTTCTTCTTTCTATGTGCTTTTTGCCTGCTGTACCTTTGCTTCAATAGAGAGAGGTGGGAGATACATACAGTGGATATAACTGTGGAATTCTCAGTCACATTCTTATTTTTTTTTGACAGGCAGAGTGGACAGTGAGAGAGAGAGACAGAGAGAAAGGGCTTCCTTTTCAGTTGGTTCACCCTCTAATGGCCGCTGTAGCCGGCGCACCACGCTGATCCAAAGCCAGGAGCCAGGTGCTTCTCCTGGTCTCCCATGGGGTGCAGGGCCCAAGCACTTGGGCCATCCTCCACTGCACTCTTGGGCCACAGCAGAGAGCTGGACTGGCAGAGAGGCAACCAGGACAGAATCTGGCACCCTGACCGGGACTAGAACCCTGTGTGCCAGTGCTGAAGGTGGAGGATTGCCTAGTGAGCCGCGGCGCCGGCCCTCAGTCACATTCTTAATTGTAACCCCTGATAGACAGACACATTTTTTTTGTCTCATGTTTGTTACATGTAAAACTGGATCATACTAGTCCTTTCTTTATAGAGTGGGTGCTTAAATGAGTTTATACTTTTTTTAAAGATGTATTTATTTATTTGAAAGGCAGAATTACAGAGAGGCAGGGCGGGCGAGAAGGGGTCTCCCATCTGCTGGTTCACTCCCCAGATGACCACAACAGCTGGAGCTGCGCCGATCCGAAGCCAGGAACCAGGAGCTTCTTCTGAGTCTCCTAGTGCGTGCAGGGGCCCAAAGACTTGGGCCATCTTGTACTGCTTTCCCAGGCCATATTTGCATTTGCCTAAAGTGTAAACTTTGGGTTTGGGCCTCACCCTTATTAATCTCTCTCATCATATTGAGATTCCTTTCAAGAGGTTAACAGAATAACTACTGGTTAATTTTCAATACAAAGTAGTTGGTTTCCTAGCAGTTTTTATGAAACTAAAAATCAGATTGGACAGTTTATTTCTTGTATTAATTTGAACTCTTTGGCTTCAAGAAACAGAAATCATATGAAGAATGAATGAGTGAATGAATTTGCCTTGAGATCATACATGTACAAGCTAGAGAAAGGAGCCAGGCCTCACAAATAGCATTAAACAAACTATTTAAAGACTGTTGTGAACCCAGGGAATGTTCTCTCTCAGTTCATCTTTGTACTTTTCTTGGACTCTGGTTACTGCTTTTGTTCTAGATCTTGTCTTTTGTAAACACAGACAAACCAAGAGAAGTTATAGCCACAGATTTGTTCTTAGAGGCATTGAGAGTTTACAATACACTCGAATGTAGACAGATATTCTTTTTGGTATCTTTGAGATGTTGCTACTCTTTGGAACCATGGCCCAGAGCTAGCAGTGTTCCCTGTTTATCCTCTTGGTAGAAAGACCTATTTAAGGAAAATTACTTATTTCATAATTAAACATTCATTTGCCTATAGCCAGTCACTGATGGTATTTAACATCTGAAGGAATTCACTGTGTTTATTTCCATAGTTTGATAATACGCAGTCTTTGGCTATTGGCTATTTTCCTAGAGTGAAATCTTAAACTTTTCCTATTTGGTCTTGAGATAATAGCATAGTAGATTGTGGATAGATTATTCTGCAAAACACATGTAAATAAGTGTTTGATTAAACAGGGTAATCCTTCTAAAATGAGTCAATAGTGTAATCATGCGCTGGGGAAATGAAAGGATGATGTTAGATCACATTGAGTAAGTTATATTTCTCAACAAGTTCTGTTCTGTCAATCTAATAGAACTTTTGGAGAAAAGGAAAGGTATATATTTATTGGTAAATAAATTGATGGTCTTGACTTTAACATTTAATTTGAATTTTATGTTATGGGTGAGATATTGCTTTTATTGTAAGAATTTAATAGGCACAATACATAAATCAATAGCATAACTTTTAAACTAATAAATATAAGATCTTTGGACAAAATTAATCAGTCCACTTCTGTTAGTATGTTTGAAGAACTTGTCTATGTGGGTTTCTGTACAAGGACCAAGTTTGTTCTTTCTTGGAAGATTAATTCAGAAGTTAGAAAATATATATGTCTCTGATAACCGT